TTTACTAAATTATCTAAATAATATTAACATAATCCACGTTACATAATTTAATTTATGTTTTTATTTTTTTTGAAGAAAAGGAATGTTTAGTCCTAGTCATAGTTAGTTTAGAAATGTCAATACTGGGTATTTGTAAAGTTTAAATAAAAATAAAAAAATAACAAAAATTGTTTTCATTTTTACTGTGAGAAAAAAGGGGGAAAAAGTGAGTGCTTCCCGAGTGATTAATTTTAGATTACTCATAAGAAGGGATTAAAATGGGATAAAAATCGAAATAAATCGGCTTTAACATGCTTCAATTAAAACAAAATTTTAATAAATTTAATAAAATATTCTACCTATTCTATGTTGCTGGTCATTTGTTTGTTTAATTCTAATAGTTGGTTGGACTGTTAATAACAATTGCGATCGCTTCTGATCTCCGTTATTCACGCCACCCTTCTTTTTTGTACCTCTTCCTGGAAAAGACAAACAAATAAAAATTTTTTTTTATTTTTTAGTAATTGAAAAGGGCCCACGTAATGCAAATAACCAGTTTTCTTTCTCTCTCTCCCGAAATCCAATAAATTTTGGGCGCACTTGATCTCTCAGCGGAACTTACCCACACACACTCTTTTTACAAAACAAACAAAAAAATAATTTAAAAATTTTAAAATTGCACAAAAACAAAGCAATTGTAACCAAAGATTGAAAATTTAATCATTCAATTTTAACTTGAATTAATTTTAAAAAATATTGTAATTGAAAAATGTATAGAAACATGTTAAGAGGATAGCAACAGGAAATTTAAGAAGGGCTTTGGAAGATATGAAATTAAATTTAGATCGCCTGGCACAACTCACGGGTTGAGAATAAGTCGGATCGGGTTTAAGAGGGAGTCAGGTTTTGGACCGGATTTGGTGGTTGGGGTAAGGTAGGGGGCTGGTAACGCGTGACATCCCCGTGACTCAAATCCAGGAACCTTTTCCCATTCATTCTAATCCAGAATATTAATAAATATAAAACTCCTAACACCTTTATCAACTTCCTGATCATTTAACATTCCATCACGACATGTTCCATAAGCACTAGGATTTTGTTTAGGAATTGTTGGTAATTTTGATAAAGACGAGGATGAGTCAAATAACCACGATCTTTCATCAATCTTTGGCTCATCTCGTTTCCAAAGATTCATTTTAGGAAAATTTTAAATTGAAAATTTAAAAAATCTGGATCAAAAAGTATTTTATCAAATTATTCAATGAATTGGAAGAAAAATCAATTTTGATAGGCTTAACAATATTATATGAGAATGAAATATAAAATGGTTGATAAAATTTACAAAAAAACTGATAAGAATAAAATCAAATAATAAAAATTTAATTAATTCTTTGGGGTCTGAGCATGATGCAAAAACTAGTTAAATTTATTTTTTGTTATTTTTTTAATTATTTTTTTAATTTTTAAAATCTTCCATCTTGAGAAAAAAATTTCATTTTTGCACTTTAGAACATACAAAATCTCATCATTTCTTACGCACATATTTTTCATCTTCACTCAATTAGGGGGCCATTTTTTAAATTAAAAAGAGAATTTGGTGAATTCAAAAATAGGGGGAAAGGTGACAGCCGATGGGAACGCATCGTCATAGGAGGGGAGAACGTTCTCGCACGTCTTGGGAGGCTTTCGTTGGTTTGCGCGCTCACATCAAAACTCGCTGTGTTTTTGGTCCTCCCTCACTCAAATCAACCAGTAATCAACACAAGATCAATGCCCTCATCACAGGAAAAGGCTGGCGCAGTGATCGCTACTAAAATTAGCTATCGACAGCCGAGAACGTTGACACCAAAAGAAAAAACTGCATTATCTGAAAATAAATTTAGAGCGACAAAAACTAAATCTGCTATTCCAAAATTGTATTTTTCAGTATTATTATTTATCTTCACATGTGTGGGTGTTCCAGAATTTCAAAATAATGGTTCGCCGTTCTAAATATTTAATTAAAATATCTATTTTATTTATCAATTTACTTGAATATTTTCAAGTCTATGCTACACCTTCTCCCGTTGGACCTTGCACTATAAATTCTGGAATTGATGGAATTCCACAAATCTCACTTCCAAAATTACCCGGAATAAATCCTAGGCTGAAATGTACTGATAAAGGTGACTAATTTTTAAAAATCAGGAGAGTATTTGTCTTAAAAATCAACAAATTGAAGGATATTTCGAGTTGATACAATGCTTTTCGGATTATTGCGTTTGTGTGGATCCAAGCACAGGTAACTTGAAAAACTAATGAACGTATACGGATGATCTCCCTTTAATGATAATGATTTAATACTTAAAAATAAAAGGTGCTGAAGCAACTTCTACAAAGACTTTATCAAATCGAATCAATCCAGAATGTGGTAGATGTTACAGATCTTTAGCTCGATATTACAAGGACAGCGATGATTTTCTGTTCCGTCCTTTGTGCGATCCAAAGACCGGTACTAAACTGTAGAAGGATTAAAAATTTAAATTCTTCAGGTAACTATCTCCCCAAGCAGTGCAAAGATGAGAAACATTGTGAGTGCCATTGTTAATTATGTAGTATTTCTGTAAACATAGGTTTCTGTGTGAATGTACTTAATGGTCTCAAATTAAGCAAGGAAGAAAAACCAAATTCTCAGACTACTTGTGATGATGTAATCTCTAAAAATTCTCTCAAATTCCCTTTAAAATTTTATCCTAAAGGGACATTTTGATTTTTCAATTAGCGGAGGAATGCTTACCAAGAGTGAAAAATTACCAAGTGGTATAACTATTGAACAGCGTATTCCGATTGGAAATCCCCTTTGCAAATTGCCTAAAGACTCAGGTGAAAACCGATGCAACGGTAAAGGAAAAGGAGTAAAGGTAGGTTAAAGCTAGAAATTCCGAAAATATTTTAATAAATAGTGGTATTTTGATGTTGATACATTTGAGTGTTTAGCCTTTAACTATAACGGTTGTGGTGGAAATAAAAATCGGTTTGATTCAGTGACCGAGTGTTGGGATCAGTGTAAACTAGGTAGTACATGTAAAAATGACTGAAGCATGATTATCTAAATATTTTTAGCTGATATGGCCGGATGCGCAGGGATGACACTTCCTGCAACAAATTCTCATGGACATACAATTGTATGTTCTAGTATGGAAGCAGGAAGTGCCCCCATACAAAGCTGTCCGGCTGGTTATCGTTGTACAATGCTTGCGTTTATGGGGTTATTTTATCTTTTGAGATATTAATACAAAAATAAATTTTGTTAGTGTTTGTTGCCATTCAGCTACTCAAGGTGCGATAATACCCTCATCTACCTTCTTTACTTTTGAACCTTGTTTAAGATCTTTATGAACGAAACTACCGACCTTCTTGTCTCAATGGAAAGCATCCGCTATTAATGGAAGCTGGAGGGACTCCAGCAAATTTAATAGGCAAGGGAAAGGCATTATAATAATCTTAACGTTGAGATTCAGGCAAAAAGTGCACTGATAACTTTTGTCCTTCTAATTCAAGTTGTGTTGAAAAAGAAATTTTTTCTCATTGCTGTCCTCGATGAAGGATCAAGGATACTCTGGAAGTTTTAGCTAATAATATTTTTCACTTTCTCAAAATTCTCGGTTTTTATTATTTTGATGAATTTTTATTTTTCCTTGATAACTAAGTTTGTTTTCTTAAAAGTTCCCCAATTACAATTGACCTAGAACCCTTAATAAGCTAACCGACTGTCAATAAAAAAAGTAACGTTTACATTCTTTAAATGACCAACGTTTTGCCTTCCTTTCCTTTGCCCTTTTTTGAAGGAAAGACAAGTGCATTTCCGTCTGCCATTTTGAACAATCAATCCTTTTTTATGCTTTGAAAAACTGCTCCCGACGGAGATGGATGCGAAGAATGGGCAAAATAAAGAAAAGAAAGTGTTTTTTTGGAAATGAAAAAGTGTCGAGCAGCTGCCAAACCCTTTGCCCTTTCTTTTTCACGCAAAAATATATTTTAAACTAAAAAAAACAACACCAGAAATGACTGAAATTTTTGTTTAACAAGGCATTCGCTTTAATGCCGAAGTTTGCTTTTTAAAAACAGATGGGTTATACTATATCTGACATTTAAATTTCAACATATTCCTCTTAACATTTTTCAAAATAATTTAAAATTTAAATGATACAAAGTGCCGAACTTCCCTGTTTAGTGAGTTTCTTAATTTAGCTTAATCTATTCCTTAATTTACAGCTTAGACCAAAAAAACTCGATATTCGTCGGTTATTGCTTGCCCATTTTCATTGGTTTATAAACTTGTAAAAATTACTTGTTTAATTTTAAAAAATTACAGGAAATGCCTTATTTGTTCCTTGTTGATAAGCTTATGTTCTATTCACATTAGTTATTGCCAGATTTATGGGCCTAAGGGTATTCAGGACTTATTAAAGTATGTATGTCACAATGTCCCAATTAAATTTTAATGTAAATTAAGTCAAACAGCTCCAGGCCCTTGTTCACATGGATATGATCTGATTCCAATGGCATTAGCTGGATTACTATATGCAATTTATCTGAGCGAATGCTGGTTTGAAATTATTCTGACCTTTTTTATTATCAGAATTATATCAAAATAGGCATTACCGAACTCTTTTGAGCATTATACCTCGAATGGGTGCCTGTCAAGCTAAGGATCTCGCATCAGCAATGAGAGATGCCGTCCCAATTGTTTGGTGGAAAAGTACGAGCTATCACTATTTGCGTAGGACTCGACGAGTAATTCGGTTAAAATGCTTAATTCAAATGTCGATAAATTCATTATATCCAGATACCGTAATGGTGATGCAACCACTCGAATCCAAGTGTATTATGAACGAGTAAACTCGCACCAGTCAGGCAATGTTTTCCTTTCTGAACAATGTGGGCATAAGGCAAGGTGGATCAAAGTTTAATTTATCAACATATCCCTTAAGGATCTAACTAAAGAATTAGATGGTCTTGAAGATTTTGCTGTCGTACGCATGCGTTTTACCAAGGGTTTTTTGTTTGCAACAGTAGAAGCAGCTAATGAATTTGAGGAACAACGTACACGCTTTTTTACAGAAAATGAAATGCTAGATGAATATATGGAGGCTAGTAATTGTATTAGTAATATTGAAAACATTTTAAAACTAAGGTCCGAGAAGGACTTGATTTGGCCAATTTGCCATTCCTCGAAAGGGTATTAGTTATTCGAGATAAAACTAATGAACGGAGACTGCAACGTCGTCGAAAAGCGCAGATTCTGAATAATAATAACAATAATTTGACAAGAGCGCCAGATGTTTTAAATCCCACTCATGGCCAAGAACAACAAGAGGAGCAACGCACATTACTTTCACCTCGCACCTCATCATTAAACGACCCTTGGTGGCTTTCACCATGGGTGTTCTGGCCAGCAAGTATTTTCCTTCTTAGTTGGCCATTACGAGTATTATCTTAGTAAAGAATTATCTAATGCTTATTTCAATATTTATAGATGTTAGCTGAATATAAAACTGGTTATGTACACCTCCAAGTGTGTAAATTATTTGGCACCAACTATTTGAGGTAGCTACTGTTAATAATTTATCCTATTTCCATATTTTATTCAGCCCTTCGAGCATCAATTATACTGGTCCATTAACACGCACATCTACGATGGATAGTCATGAGTTGAGCATGGCAAACCGACAGAACTATGTTGTTGTTCCAAGCTATAGTGAAGCGATATTGCTTGACCCATATAACAACACTCAATTGCCTAATTCTGGAAGATCCCAGGTGACTAGGAATGCACAAATATTTGAATTTTCGTTATAGTTTAATCCAAGTTCGCTGCTACGTCAGTTATTTTCCTCGCCTCATAGGTCATCAACAGCTCAACAGCAAGTTAGACAAGGTCAATATGGGTCAACAGGACATCATTTTATGTTAAGGATGGCTTATGGCGAAGGTTCACCGAAACCATTGAGGCCCACACGCAGCGCAACCATAGCTTGTTTCAATACTAGTGAAAAATTACAAGTACATAACAATGCAACGCGTAGACATCTTCCCCGTCCATCAACATTATTTGACAGACGACAAATCCAATTCCCACGTTCTATAACATTTTCAGAAGGAATAGGTCCGAGATATAATAGTCTATCTAACGAACAGCAAAATGTTGGAGAATGTTCGGACAGAACACCTCTTTTACAACAACATTTAACAATGGAAATAAATGAGCAACCCCCTCAGGATGGGGAACCTCCACCACCATATGAGGCAATTTTAAATTACAATCCATTTTGATTATTTAAAACTTGATAGATTGCCCTACGTTATTGTTCGCCAATCTATCAAAGAATACAACAATCAGCTCATTCAATATCCTCGCTTTTTACATGGTCAAGAAGGGTGTCTCATACTTAGAAATAATGATAGAAACTTGTTAAAGTATTTCAATAGAATTTTATTTGACAGCTCAAGCTCTAATGAAAACTGCTATAAAATATAAATAATTGTAGTTGAAAGCAGATCTGCTCATGGACACGGGTTTTAGTATAGTATCTGGATATGCACGACGGATACATGCGGATATCCGCAGGTATCTTGATATTATCTGTATCCGTGAGCAGGTCGTTGAAGATTAATTTAACTAAAATCGAATTCGAAAGATTTTAAGGAGTTCAACTACACTAAATACAATTAAATGGAAAAATAATATAAATATTTAAATCTTTAAATAATTAAAATGGAATTTTTAGATAATTAATGAATGGCACATTAAAAGATTATAAGTGAAGATATTAGCTGTTTTTTAAGTGAGCGTAATTGTGGATAGATTGCTTTTACATAGTTTTAGGAATAAAAGACAGATTTATGATTAAGTTAATCTTAGGATGGTTGGCGTTTCCGGTTATCCGGAACCGAAAATCCCACAGATATCGGTGAATTTTCGGTTCAGATATCAGTTCCGGATGTCCGGAGATTTCCTAGAAACCGCCAACATTAATCTTAGGGGAGAGGATGAGCAATAAATCTAGGTATATGGCTTTCAAACAAGTCTATTTTTACGTTCATAAAATGCAACAAGATCATAAATAAATTTGTATTGTTGGGGATTTTTGACAAGTGACCTTAATTTTAAAGAAAAATTAAATAATTAAAAGTAGGACATACATCCGTTGATATCTCAAGTCTCTTAGAAGTTGTGCAACCTCCAATGTCTGAACAATAATACATAAATTATATACCTACATATGTATTTTTAAACTCACAATATTATTTTCCATGCTTCGGATTAGCACTTCAGAGAGCAAATAACTTAAAAAAATTTGAGTAAATAGGTTAACTGAATGTTTAATTCCTTCAAAATCCCCTCCCCCCAAAAATCAAAAAAAAATTAAAATCAGTCCTTACAGTCCACTATCGCTACCGCCATCGGTACATTGGATAATAGTCAGAGGTCCCTGGCTTAAATATAAAAAACATTAACGTATTTAACTAGGCATAGAAACCTAGCATTTTGTTGTTGAACATCAATGCTTTGTTGCTGATGTTTAGGTGATGTGTTAGATGTTTGTTTGCTTGAAGCTCCGTTTTGATCAAAACGAAGTTTCTTTCTGGCCCAGCCACCGCTCTCTGATGACTGAGCTCGTTCACAGCGAGAAGCGTCACTTGACTTTAAAAATGAGTTAATTAAAAAAGTTTAAAGTTGTTTCCAACTCGGCTGTCCTTAGATGTATTAGAGTTGGATTTGCTAACAACAACTGAGGATGGTGTCCCTTTTGCATCAGTTAAATCCTTGTTGTGATCCTCTTTTGTTTTAATTTCATTTTGAATATGTCTTTTGAGACAAGAGGCTGCATCAATAAGTCCAATAAAGGTATCCTAAACATAGAAAATTTGAGAAAATCTGCCGAAACAACGCTTCACCCTTACAGGTGCCAATAATTTACCGTAAATGCTCTAATAAAAACACATCTCCAATTGAAGCACATCTCTAATATAAGCACACCCTACGAGAGGATCGAAAAATACAAGCACAGTCTCTAATTGAAGCACAGTCTCTAATATAAGCACACCCCTAGTATTTTAGTGAAAAAGCACCTCATTTCTGCATTTGAGGGATATAGAGGTATAGAGGGATAATATTATTATAATCCCTCTATATCCCATTGAGGGATATAGAGGGATTAGAAGTGATTAAGTGGGGGGGGGGATTAGAAGTGATTAACCTCTATACTATACTATTAACAAGTATAGTATAGAGGATTCAAGGAGATAACGAGAGATTGGGAGGTAGGAATTTTGGGTATTAAGAGGGATATCAGTAGAAATCTAAGGATTTTGACACCAATATCCTCCTTAATCACTTAAAATCCGCTTATATACCTCGATATCCCTCCAAATCCATCATAACCTTCTTGATCCCTTGATGTCACGCACAAGTCCCTTAATGCTCATTTTAATCCTTCCAAATCCCCATATATCCCTCTCATTTTTTTATTTTTATTAAACTATAGGGGCTTGTTTGATGTATATACAAGTGGGTCTCTAAATTAAGATAATGAAAATGCAATTGAAAGCGATAATTTGATTCAAATTTAATTTATGGTTTGTGTTATGTAGGGTATATATTTACTTTAAAAAATGAAAAATAAATCGAAAAATACAAGCACAGTCTCCAATTGAAGCACAGTCTCCAATATAAGCACACCCTACGAGGGGATCGAAAAATAGAAGCACTGTGCTTCTATTAGAGCATTTACGGTATATTCAAAAACCCCTTTAAGATTAAGTACCATAGATGATGGAACTCCTTGTTCAGTAAAATCAGCACAATATAAATGATAAATTGTACGACGCTCGCCATGTCTGGCAAGTGTAAATGTTGTTGTTTGTTGAAACATCTGCATTTGAGCTGGTTGGCTAACATTCTTAAGGCGGAGGAAAAAATCTCCAACAGTTAATTTAGCTTTAGCCTGGCTAGGAATATAGCTGGGAATTGTGTCGTTTTTGTTGACCTGGTGAGGATTGACTAGCATTACTAAAATTTAATTAAAAATTAGCTACTCAATATTAAGCTAGAAACCAATTAATCTTGCTCCAGTTTGCCAAACCATCTGCCAGAAATCCTCAATAGTTTTCTGTATGGGTGCTTGAGAGATAACATAACGCAATTGTATGTTCCTACCGATAGGAACAACAACCTCTGAAGCATTAATGTAACCTTAAATTTGATTATTAATTCAAAATCTAGGAAATTCAAACCATCTGGGTTCGAATTTGTAACAGCCAATCTTAATCTATTTTCATTATATGGATAGATTTTGCTTCCTCTATTTCTAACTAAATTGTGTGATCGGACAGCGACTGAATAATCAGCTGATAAACTCTTCGCTGGAATTCCGGAAAATTCAATTTCTGCAAACTCAGGCAAAGATTTTGATTGATCAACGCTGTTATTGACACCATTATTTGTCTAAATTTTTAGAAAATATTATTTATAATCGTTCAAAATATAAACCATTTGCGTTTCTGAATGCGACGAAGTTGCATTGGATTTTGGACTAGATCGCCGACTTTCCTCTTGTAAAGGGATAGCTGCTGGTGAAGGTGGCGAATTTGTTGTTGGAGGGTAACCCTGTACGGTAAGTTGAGGGGGAATTTGAAGGGCTGATACATGCCCTAATTGGGGTGATTGCTGCAGTATTTGTTCCATAATTGATGTAGAAGAGGGTGGCGGTTGGACATACGAAGCAGCATCTGGCGGTATTGGATAGATAATAGTTTGTTGCTGACCATTCTCGTCGATTACTTGTCCTTGAGAGAAGGGCCCATTTCTTATAGCGATTGGACTGTTTTGTAGATAGAAGGATGTGTTACTGCTGCTTCCAACGTCTGGATTAATATTGTGATGAGATGTGGTAGTAGATGAAGGTGGGCAATAAGGGGGTAACAAATTAACATTTCCAGCGATTGGAGGTGGGTAAACAACGGAAGAAAGTGAAGTTTGGCCTGGAACAATTCGATGCCCTCCAGAGCCATTCATTTGAGAGGGGGGAAGTAAAGGTGTTTGAGGCTGTGATTGAGGTTGTTGCTGCTGTAATAATTGAAAGCTTGCAAGTTGTTGTTGCTGATTTAAACGTGCAGAATGTAGATCTGGTGTAGAAGTAAATATCTTGCGCGTTAGCGAGAAATTGTTGACATCCGCTACAAAGTTATTAGCATTCAATGCCCCTCCAATTTGATGTTTTTTGCATTTAGCTCCAGATGCTGCTGAAACACTTTTGCCCAAAGTATTAATTTCAGGACTGGAACCAATCTAAAAAAGAAAGGGAGGTTAAAAACAAGCTAGCTTTACTTTATTAAGTCGACGTCTTTCTGTCAGCATTCGTTTAAGCACTTCGTGCTGTTCATGACGTAACCAATCCTCTTGGCTTCCATTTGAAGTTTTTTGTTGCTGGACTGCTGTGCCAGGGAATTGTAGAGGAACTGCAGGCACATAAAATGTTGATGCACTGCTTGAACATGTGCCAGCGACTGGAGGCGAAACCTTATCAGCAACATTTGTAATCTGAGTCCGAATAAATGGAAGAGCTGAGGAACTGTTTGATCCACCAGCCATAAAATCAGCTGAAGCTGGAGGCAATATTTTGCCGATAGAAATTGAACGGGATGCAGAAAGGGCCGCTAAATATTTACAAATGTAATACAAAAATAACTAATATTTTTACAATTAGATTGAGGAGGTCGAATAGGATTGCAGGATTGTATAGAATTAACTGTAGATTGGCTATTCTGATCTGTACGAATTGTTAACTGAGGTGTCG